CCACAAATTAAATAATTTATTCTTCAATTTCGAAATTTCAATTCAATTTTGAACAATTTGAAGTAGGAAAGGATCAAATTAAATAATTCAATAATACTCGAAATATTTCGATAAATTCAATTTATGGTTATTTTGATTTTTATTTCTAACCTTTTAAAATTTGTATTAAAAAAAAAGGGTCGCAATTTTTAAAAAGTAAAAAATGTGTTTTTAAAAAGTGCGCAATTTTCTTTTTAAATTGAGTAATACTATTATTGATTTAGTGATTTTTTTTGTATTTTTTTTTTTTAAATTTCAGCACCTTTCGTTTAAATGATTATTCATTTTTCCAACTAGTTTTTTTTTTTTCTTTTTTATTTTTCCTTTTTTAATTTATCTACTTTTCATTTCTAACTGATTTTTTTCCAAATCTTGTTCAATAATATTTTTACAAATCTTTCATTGTCATTGTTATTGTTTAATGTTTTCGCTGTTATTGTAGCTGTAATTTGGAATTCCTCAACAAATAAACAAATAAACAAATAAGCAAATAAACAAATATATTTTTTTAACAAATAAACAGATAAACAAATGTATTCTTTAACAAATAAACAAATATATTTTTATCATTTTTTTTTTCTCATTTATTAATAATACAATTCTTAATTATTTAATAAATAATAATTTATGAATTAAAATATTCAAACATTGATTACATCAATGAAAATAATTTACTAATTTCAAACAAAAATTAGAAAAAAAAAGAAAAATTCTATCATAAACAAGCAATATTGAAAGAAATGAAAAAGGAAATAAATAAAATATATAAAAATTAAAACAAAAAAAGGAAGAAAATTAATAATTTGAAACTATTTTGTTTTAAATTTAAAAGAATAATAATATGAAATTAATAAATTAAAAAATGAAAAAAGTGAAAAAGAAAGAAAAGGAAAGAAAAAAAGGAAAAAAAAACGTAAAGCATACATAAATAAATATAAACCGTAACAAATGTGACATTTAAGGTCGTGTCAACATTCCAACAATTCCATTTCGTTGATGATAATTTAACGAAAAGAAGAAAAACGAATGACAATCACACCAACATTCCTACTTAGCACAATTAGATAACCTTTTTGGTAAAAGGTATGAATGACGTATGAGATGAATGAGAAGGTAAAAGGTGAGAACAAATAGTTGTTTTTGATTTAAAGGTTATGACTGTATTGTTATTCCGGTCCGGTTATCGTTATGGCATGTATTTTACCTTCTTGTCACATCATACAATTTTTCTGCCTCATTTTAATACATCATAAATACATATGTAGTATTTAAATACTTATATATTTATTTAAATACTTATATATTAATTGTTCCTTTTATGAATATTAATGAGACAAAGTAGTGATAGAAATGGACAGAAAAGCCGAATGAATAAATAATGGTCACCGGATTGATGGACGAACGGATGGATAAAAATGATAAGATGAAAGGATGATGACGACAGAGGAAAGAAAGGGAAGGAGGGAGAGGGGATAAGAAATAAAACCGGACCGCTTGCCTTCGTCCCCTCCTCCTTTCTCTTCTTTCCCTCCCCATCATCATCTACACTAAATAAAGAATTGTGGAATTCTAGCAAAGTGAAAGAATGCCGCCTCTGTCATTGCTGTCACCAAAGTGGCAAGCTGATTCTGTCATTATTAGTAGTACTTATAATTGACTCCAATTTATTTAATTACTTGCTTTAGTAATTAACTGCATGTTTATCTAATCAGTTGTAGATATTGCGTAACAATTGTTTAGCAAATATTTTAATTAAGATTATTTTTGGAATATTTTTCATTACAGCAAAAAAAAGGAAAAAAAATTATAAATTAAAAAATTGAAATTTTTAACTAACAATTAATTTTAATCAAAAAAATTTTGCTTCTTTTCATAATTTTTTATTTTTTACTTCAAAATTGCCTTAAAAAAAAACAGTTCGAAATTCAGTTTCTCTTAAAAAGATTTATTTTTTTAATAATTTAGTTTTTAACAAAATTAAATTAAATTGTTTGAAATTCTTTTTTTTTAATTTTGTCAAAAAATTTTCTTCCTTCCACCTTGTTCCTTTTTGTCACTTTATAAAAAAAATATTGATCGAAAAAAAAAACATGTTTAAAAATTACATTCATTTTAAATTTAAATTTTAAAAGTACTACATAATTTGAATAGTCCACAATTAATTAATCGTTAAATTGTTATCAAACTTTTTCATCATTGCCTTTTCCGCCGACAACTTCATGCAACGCCTTTTTTTTTTTTTTTTTCATTATCAAAAGACCGGTTAAATTTATCAGTGATTTTTCAGTCAACAACGAAGATTGTTCCAGAAGGAGGAAATACCCGTACTATTATTGCAATTTAGACGACAAATATTTTTCTATATTGCTATTGTTATAATTGTTATTGTAATTAAAATTAAAATTATCATTACAGTTATAACTACAATTATTATCAGTAATTAGTTAATTAATAATATTAATTGATATGCATTAATTAACTAAGGCTACAATTAATTGTAACTTATGATTGTTGTTATGATTGCAATTACAAATTACAATTATCATTACAAATGATAATTATTGTCATAAATGATTTTAATTGTCGTTATAATTATTATTATTATTGTAAGTAATTCAGCTATAATTGCAATTATAATATCCATTAATTAATTAACGCTGTAATTAATTATCAATTGTAGTTGTTATTATGATTGTAATTGCAATTATAATTACAATTATAGATAAATAATAATAATATAATTACTATTATATTAT